ACGACCGATTAGTTCTCATAACATTTTCTATTATCATGACATCCAAACCTGGGGTCTTAAACTTGGTCTATTCAATTAAGATTTCTCGATAGACAAATTAACTGCTTTTCCCGTGATGTATGAAGTTACTTCTATTTATCTTACGCTATCAGCTGCCATGACCTTATAATTGGCAATGCTACTTGGGCACTCGTAAGGGAGGGAGCTGGATTGAATGCCATTAATCTTATACTGCTGCAGCCTCTTCAGTAATTAAGATTAATCGAATATACAGGGCACTAAGTAATCGCATTAACAATGTGCCATTCTCACACAGAAATATTGAGTGCTACTGAATACTAAAAATGTGTTATCATATAGACTTCTGTAAAATTAATAAATGTATTTATAATTTTACTCGTGGGATCCATTTAGTTAAATGTCTGGAGTGTTCGCCATAGTAGAATTACAGTTGTTATAATATTACAAGTACAGATTCAAACGCAAAGCATTCAGTGTGTGATTAAAACAAACTGCAGTTATGAAGGAGTCCACATACACATTACGTGTCACTACGGACAAGGAGATAAATTACTATTATGGCTGTACAGTCCTTTGTTGAACTTTGGTCCATTTTCAGTTTCTTAATCCTACACACACTTTGTAGGACTCCTTGGACAGGGGATCAACCCGTCGTAAGACCTCCACCTACACACAGAACAAAACAAACACATACTAAAAGTACACAATACAGACATCCATGCCCTGATTTGGATTCGAACCCACGATCCCAGCGTTAGGGCGAGCGAAGACAGTTCATGCCTTTGACTGTGGGGCCATTGTGATCGGCAACGAGATAAATAATGTATTAAAAGTAGGCCGTTACTACTAGACCTGTGCCTCTGTGCTTAGCTAATGAAGCGCTATGCCACGAAGGCGTATGGGGGAGTGGATATATAGATTCACGTTTTCTTGACCTCGGCATTAGCTGGAGGCAATAGTCAGTTTCACACCTTAGTCGCTTTAGCCCCGGGAAACAGCCCCTACTAGTAGGCCCGTAGACGGCATGATTAGAATAAATTTATTTACTGCTCTATCAATCCACCGACTCAAACAGCCGTGTATGCAACAGCATACACTACAGTACTTCCCACCAGCCACATAGGCAGGTATACGCGTGATTGCACTTAGTGTCCGCGCATTGCTGGACCGGTACAAAAATACATAAAATAATAATCTTTTTATCTGCCGATCACAGTGGGCGCGCGGTCTAAGGCAGGTTTCTCAACCGCCGGGTCCTCGCCTAATAAAAAGGGAATTTACCCGGCCCGCGTTCTCACAAAGGTTGAGAACCACTGGTCTAAGATATGAACTGACTTCGTTCGCTGGAACGATGGGTTTGAGGCCCAATCAAGGCATGGATGTCCATGTGCCTTTGTTCTGTGTGTAGGTAGAAGTCTTGCGACAGGCTGATTCCCCATCCAAGGAATCCTACCGACTGTGTATAGAGTCAAGAAACTGAAAAAAGCGGGCCGAAGTCCAACAAAGGACTGTACAGCCATAGATAGATAGTTTATTATATTATCTTGTTCCCCGTAGCAAGATCTAATTATTATGCGGATTTCAACAAATCTGTACCATGATTTCCTATTATATCAATAGTTCCCATACAAAAATGCGTGTGCCTACGCCATTTTGTTTAAAGGAATGCAGTACATCCGAAATATTCTGTTTTATCCATACTTCCTGTGTCAGTAAGGTACAATTCTTCCTCTTCTCTGGGATATTCAGTCAAAGGAGGCGACGTGACTTGCGCGCTGTGCCGACAGTTACGGAAAACACATCTCACACTTTCACCGTGGAGGGAAAGGACTGACGGCACCCGCCCTGAGTCTAGTGCTTGCCCACTGAGGACATCAAACGCAGTGTTTCCTTGTGTGTAGATGTCTCCAACTTTTTCCGCCTTTGCGCGCTCAAGGTACATGTACGTCACCGTTGCATCGGTGGGGACAGCCTCGTATTTCAATCTGTACTTGTACTTGTACCACTGTAACGATTGTAACGCCATGTCCTACTTGAGAAGCCACCAGTTGCTTAGCTACCCAAGAATTTCTCAACATATTATGGAACCCGAAGATTCGTCACCGTGTATACAAGAGCCTTCCATTGGTCCCTATCCTGAGCCTGATCAATCCAGTGAATACGACCCCATCCTATTTCTCTAAAATCCGTGTTGTAATTACTATTACACTCCCATCTACGTCTAGGTCTTCCAACTAGTCTCTTTATGACTTTTCCGCCAAAACCATGTATGAATTCCGCTTCGCCTTCATGCGTGCTACATGCCCTGCGCTTGACTTGATGCCTACTTATGTTTGGCGAAGAGTACAAGTTGCGAAGCTCCTCATATTCATCTAAATGGATACCGTGGATAGAATTATAAATGTATATAATTAATCTGCTTATAGAACACATTTCTTGTTTGAGTTTATAATGGGAATTGGGGCCTAAAAGGGCCCATACACGTACAAGTCTGGCTCGCGAGTTCGACTCGGCTCGGGTTTCAATGAGCCAAACTCGTCCGTGTGTGGGTCGCAAAGTTGGGAGTCAGCTCATGCGTTTGTGATGAAATTAATTCGAGCCCGGCTTCCGAGTCAAGCTCGCCGAGCCGGACTCGCGATCCAGACTCGTAGGTGTATGGGCCCCTTAAGGATGCCACGTTACAGAGAAAACATGTCGCCTAGTTAATAAACATAAGTTTTATGACTGCATATATACCATTCGAATAGACACGGAACATTCCAGAACAAGGTTCCACAGAGAATATCAGGCCCAACAGACAGGAAGTGAAAGGAGGAAGGAGAAAATCCGTCATAAGAAAGTTCAGAATTCTATTTGTCCACAAAATGCTCAGTATTTTGAGACAGAACTGGATGGCGGAGCGTGTGGTAAGGATGGGCAAAATGAGAAATATAATACAAAAATTTTCGTCAGAAAACTTGAAGGGGAGAAGCTACTTAAAAGACCTAGTCGTAAATGGTAGGATAATATTAATATGGGGTTTATATATATATATTATTTATTATACTGCAATTGGGTTTTAGCTCGGTGACAGTAGTACACAATAGGACACAACAGACAAGTAACACACATTACACTAAGTGACAACACGTTCAAACAAAATACAATACACAAAACACAACTATAAGGACATCCTACCACAGTGAATACAAACCAAAAACGATTAACAACCACAACAATTACAGAGAAATACAAACAACTGCAACAAATACAGCAACAATTACAGAGAGAGAGAGAAAAAAAATACAACACCCAAAACACAAATAAAAGGAAACCAACAGTCATGGATGCGTAATGTCATATATATAGTTCATTTGGCGCAGGACATTGTCCCAGTAGGGTTGGGGGGGGGGTGTAAACATTCGGGTTACAAAAGAGGCGAGGAATTTTTTGACTATCTAAATGACTATTACATTGTCACAAATGACAGTTATCTATAAGTCAGCTGAATGGAAAGCACTGGCCAATTGCACAATATGCCACTTTGCAAAATATGAAGAAATCTCTAGAATCCACAGATCATATCTGGACCTGCATCCCGACGTCTGCAGACGGATAAAATGTGCAGCTAATATCATTTCTCAGTTTTGTTATTACATGTCCGGAGCGTCTAACAACTAAGAACCAATCTGGATTTCTCTTCCACTTTCCTAGTACACAAACTCAAACCAAGTTCGGACTAAGTCCTCAGTTAGAACTTCTCAATTAAGAAGAACAAAACAAGAAAAAGCGACGTGAAATATCAGTAACGCAGTGCGTGACATGGCACAAGGATTGTTAAGCACGCGACTGTTGCTAACCGCACACGACAGTGAAATGAAACTTCTAGAAAGGTGACGACCTCAAATCAGCGGTCAGCAAGACAGACCGATCACTTGAAAACTCTCTTCAACTACTCTTCACTCCAAGTTCTTTCACCCTAACTGGTTCGTAAAAAGAAAAGTAAAGCTATCCATCTAACAGTCCGTGGAGGCTCATAGAGGTTTGAGACGCCGAGGCTCCCACATTTTCTACGCAGTTGGCTCACAGATGGCGGTGAAATTCTCAGTCTTATGCACCTTCCTGGTACTTATTTTTGTTAGAGGCTAAATCGACCCCCAGGGTTATAGTGCGGCTGGAAGGATTGTCAATTGAAAAATCCAATGACATCGCGAATCGAACCCGCGACCTTCTGGCTTGTAGCATAGCGCCTCGACCGACTATGCTACGGCGTACGTTGTAAATAACAATAAATCAGTCAGAAAACACCTCAAACGTAGCTGCAGTGTGTACCTACACCCAGGGCTTCTAAATCCGGAATAATTTTAAGCCTCTTCATCTATTTAACGACGATTTTCTGGTTATGCATAGTTGAAGTTCTAAGGACTCGTCGTGCTGAAGTATTCAATGTTTATTTATTTTCAGACATCAGTCATTGTTGTAGTCATCATAATCCCTCGCCATTATGGTCATCATCATCATCATCATCATCATCATTATCATCATCAATCATCATCCTCGCTCGAACACTCCTTTGGGATGTTCCGTCAGTTATTAAAAAGTTTCTATTCACATTGGCAAAGTTCTGCCCAAGCTTAGCATTTCACAAAGTGCTACAGAGTTTCTAAATGCAACATATTTTATTCGGCTGATCACAGTGGCCGCGCGGTCTAAGGCATGAACTGACTTCGCTCGCTCGAACACTGGGATCGTGGGTTCGAATCCCACTCAAGGCATGGTTGTCTCTATTATGTGCGTTTATTCTATGTTTGTATTGTTCTGTATATGGGTAGAGGCCTTGAGAAGGGCTGATCCTCCGTCCAAGGCGTCCTACCGACTAGGTATAAGATCAAGAAACTGAAAAAAGCGGTCAAGGCCTAACAAAGGACTGCAGATTCATACTAATGAACATATTGTATGCATTACATTGAGTAAAATGTCTCCTTTCTGCATTTGCGCAGGTCCTGACGCTGCTAGCTGCCTTGCTTGTCCGGACAGATGCCTCTTACACCCCTGAACACCAGCACAATTTACGATGCGGGCATCTTGGCTATGGGTATGGCTATGGTGGACTAATAGGTTACGGTGTCTATGGGGGCTACAGTGTAGGTGAGGGTCTCGCCTATGATCAAGCTCCCATTGCTGGCTACGGCTATGCAGCAGTACAACCTGCCCTACAAACTTACGCCGTATCTCCGGGTGCTACCAGTTACGCTGTCGCCCCAGCCATCAAGTACACGAAGACTAAACCTGTTATCGCATCACATATATCTTTGGCAGGCAGCGCGGAAACGTACGCAACCGTCCCCCTCGTTCAATCATATTCCTCAGGTTCATCTGAATTATCTGGTCAGTCCGGTATCAGTTATTCCTCCGGTAAGACGACCACTGTTGCATCTGCTTACCAGTCCACAGCTCCGGTAGTTGTCAAGTACAGCTCCACTGGGGCTCCTGCCGTGACATCCTATAGCAGTGGTCCACTTGTAAAGTTCGCGACTGTAGCCCCCGCTGTGAAGTATATATCACCTGGAAGTTTCTCCACTTTGTCTGTAGCAGCCCCATCTCTCTCCAGTGCTTTAGTACCTACTTCATACTCTACAGATCATACAGTGAAACAAGTGGTTGTTAAGCCAGCTGTCGCTACGTACTCAGTAACTCCTGTGATTAAATATGTTTCTGTGAAACCTGCTGATAAGTATATCTCAGTCACTCCTGCTGTTAGATACATATCTGAAACACCTGCACAAGTGTCTTCATATGCCACTGGTGGCTTGTCATCTTCGTATTCTACCGGAGGATCTGTTTCAGCTTATTCTTCTGGCAGTGCTTCAGCCTCTTACATTTCCGGTAGCTCCCCGGCTTCTCATACATCTGGTGGTGTGGCTTACCAGGCCGTAGCAGCGCCAGCTATATACACTACCCCAGTTGCTGTAGCAACTCCCGTGGTGGCCGCGGCCCCCGCACCAGCAGTCTATGCATCAGCCACACCGGCTCTTGCAACTTTCATCAGCTCCTCTCCTGTGCATGCCACTCCAGTCGAGGCCAAAGCCGTCCTCCAGCCAGTGATTACAAAATATCACAAAGATCATGTAAGTACCGTTCGTTCTGGCTATCAGACTACATGATAACACAAAATGAGACAGAGGTGTAGTTCCAAGCAAATTTGACCTGCAGATGGAGCTGGGCGCTAAGCTCCACGTCCAAGCCCCTCTATCCATTGTTTAGGAGGTCTGGTGGACCTCAGAGTCAGCTTGAAGCGGTGGTTAGACAAAAAACGTCTGCCTCTGCCGAGCATGGAACCCATGCAGTCAAACCCCTAGTCTAGTTTCAATAGACCGCGACTTAATTTAAGGTACTATTAGGGCTTTCCTTGTAGGGCCGTGGGACACCACCAAAACCTCAGTCTGGATAGCCGGTGTACAGACTGAGAATCGAACATGGCGCCTCCCGAACAAAATTCAGTAACGTTAGGACTTGGGCCATCTTTCCAGGTGTGAAGTTGGTTATTTTAATTCTTCTGTAAGTTAGTTAGGTAGTTAGTTGGATTTGCCATTATATAAACTAACTTTCATACTGTTCCTTTCAAATGATCAAATTTAAATTAACGTGATATTTTATTGCAGTATAATGTAATGTATTGTAATTGATGGAAACCCTTCTGAACAGTTTCAGAGACGAATATCTTGACAAGCTGACAGATGGACAAGAAAATGTAAAGCCATGCATGTCTCTTTATAACGTTCATCCCCCCACCCCCCACCTACTTCGTGCAAAGAAGTAATCTATTATATTGATAATTTTGTACTTCACGTGTTACAATAAATTATTTTAAAGCGTTAATACACGGGCTATGGATGCACGAAAACCTGATGAGTAAACTACCCAAAACGAAAACGAAACATTAATTTGTAACTTCGTGACATGGCTTTAATTGTCCACAGGCTCATATCCGCAGTACTATTTTAATAATTACAGCTGCGCAACATTTAAGGTATTTATTATTCTGTCTGCGGCCAGATTTATTGCGCAGTTAGTAACGGGTGCACACAACCTAGCAATTAATATGGCACCGCCGCGAACGGATTGCCTCCAGCCGAGACGAGACAAGCCGTTCAGTGGAGGGAAGAGGAACAGAGATGTGGCAGGCAATTACTTACGGTGCGGAGTGGGGCGAGGGGGGGGGGGCAATACTCGCCACGAAGCCGGACCTACGGCATCCTCGACTGGGTTGTATGATGTTTCTCTTGAAAATAAAAATAACTTGCTTACTTTGCCAGGTCAGAAATGAAGCCCCAAACTTAACGACCTATAACGCGATAACGTGCTGCCTGTCCAGGGCACAAGCTGAAGGCGGTGATAGATGAATTTGGGGCAATTGTGGAATGATGGTTATATAGCACACGTGCCACTCCGTCAACTTCGAACCTTACACGAAGTTCACCAGGATTGAACCAGAGATATCGCTGTGGGAAGCCAGTCCTTACTCGACTGAGCTATGGCATGGCCTATTCTAAAAACTTGGCTTTAATTTTTATAGAAACATCTATATTTTAGTTTAGTTCCATGTACATGGATCCGCCTGTTAAGTTAAATATAAAACAAAACAAACATACTCAGTGTTTTGGTCCGCAAGCGAACTAAGTTAAATATAACTTCTGAACGACCCGTTGAAACCAACGGGAAATTAAATTCTGGAGGGTTTTGGCGATTGCATATAGCACTAAGAATTACTGTGTTTTCAGGCTTTGTCCATCGTCCTGTATTCTAAAAAAAAAAAAAACACTAGAGAGCACAACGTTTCGGAAACTGGATCTGTTCCGTCCTCAGGTGGGAGACGCATATTCTGTTGGGACGGTTAGGAAGAGCTAATCTCAGTCACTTGATCTGAGGTTAGCTCCTCCTAACGGACCAAATAGAGTAGGTGTCTCCATCTTCCTCACCTGAGGACGGAAACAGATCCAGTTTCCGAAATGTTGTGTTCTCTAGTGCTTTTTTTTAATATCGGATTATGGACAAGGTCCAAAAACTCAACAGTTCCAACGGGAAATTAACAATATTTATATAGGAATCATATTGTTACATAAACTAAATTCTAAGGAAAGTCATATGTTTTCCGCTTAGTGCGGTGTGGAGTCCAGCTGGGTCCACTCGGCACGGCGGCCACTGATTGGCCTATTGTACCTGCCCCAGGTGATTATGATGATGGAGAATTTGGTGGAATGAAGATTGACAGGGGAACTCTAAGTACTCGGAGAAAACCCGCCCCACCGCCACTTTTTCCACCACAATCCCACTTGACCAGACCCGGGATCGAACCCTGGCCGCCGTGGTGGGAAACCAGCGGCTAACCGCTTGAGCTATGGCGCGGCCTTAATTCATATGTTACTAAAAATAAATAATAATGCAATTAATAATTCGTTATTTAGACATAGATTAAATTTTAGAGGTTTATCGTAATAAACTGTAATTTAATTTATGCACGTTAAGCCAATAACGTCGTTATTTTTGTAGAAAAATTTAGGAGAACTATGCAATTAAAGAAAAGACAGGAGAGAATATTGCTCTGATCGTTCCTATGCATTGCAGTAATGAAGCAGTTGATGCCCAAAAAGTAATTGGGTACACTAGAACTCTCTGAGGAGAAGCACTGGGCCGTCCTCTCCTTAAGACACGTGTTAACACCCTCCTTCTCTTTCATAAGGCAGAAAATTCTCTAAAAAGAACTTCACGAAAAGTGATTTCGATATATTCTGCGGTATTCTTCAACCGATTTCCGGTTTTTACTTCTTCGGATGTCGCAAGAACAATTATTTATAGAGCGGGGTCGTCAGCCTGGCGTCCACCCCCTACCTGGAGGACCAGGTTCCTGTATTTACGAGTACATGTTCCCCAGTGACAGAATGGCCCAGCTACACTCTCAGGCAGCGGGTTCCTTTTTAATCTTTTTCTACGACTGGCAGGGCTACGGTGAAATACACTAACCCCCCTGCAAACGACGAAGACGACTACTACTACTACCACCACCAATAATAATAATAATAATGATAATGATAATATCACTTACACGATTGTAAATAATTGTGTCCTTGTGACTTGATACGTAAGGTAAGAAAAGGTAAAGTTATCCCTGTAACAGGCCAGGAGGCCCTTAGGATTGTGAGACGTTGAGGTTCCAACATTTTCTTGACAACTGGCTCATAGATGTCTGTCATAAATTTTAATATAAAAGTAAATCTAAAAAAAGGAGCAAGTAAATAAATTAATAAAAATAAAGGTTAATTTTCCTTGCTCTTAATTAAGACGAAATAATGAGTCAATTTATAGCTGCACATTTTCTTTACATCGGCACTAAATGCAGGTGAGTGATGAGTGGTGAGTTTCGAGTTCGGGCCGATTTACCCCTCGGGAAAGAGCATCCGCTACCCATTGAATAATTAAGTGAGCGTCCCCCGCAACTGGCTTACACGATGTGAAGACGAGAAATGTTTCTTGTTCCTGTCGGGAATGGAATCATGATTTAGGATCAGCAGCCCGTAGCTCTGTGTTTGTATCTACTGGGATCTCCAGTAAACTTAACTGCACGATGTTACCAGAAAGCTCAAAGATAAAATTCGGATCTGACTTTTGGAGCTTTTGTGCCGTCTATGTGCAACGCCATTCACTCTTCTACTCGTGTCTTCGTATTCCTTTATTGGACACTACATGTTTCGGCCTAAGTGGCCATCTTCAGGTGTACAGGTTATTGTGGTTAAGGATTCTGCATTTCACTGTAACGCAATATTCTTTTCTCCTACTCTAGTTGCCTCTGATTATTTTGGTTATGTGGGTTAGCATCAGTTTTATTAGGATGTCTTTGCTTTTCACGTGGTTTCTTTTGGTTTTACTTGGTTTGTTGGTTGTGGCTGCGTTGAATGTTCTTGCTGGGGCGGGAGTTCTGTTATGTGTTGGTCGGCCATTACGAAGAAAGAATAGTGAAAGACGTTGCACACAGACGGCACAAAAGCTCCAAAAGTCAGATCTATATAGTGAAAGAGGATGCTGAAATATAACACTATAAAATTCGGAGCCACTTGTGATAATGGCGAAACACAGCTGTGTGTGTCACGCTCTGACGCTAGGAGGTATGAAATTCCAGCGGGCATAGCGAAGGCTGTGATGAGCGACGACAGTTAACAAGGAACCCACGCTGTGAGGATTATGGCAGCCGTGAGTACTAGTGGCTTCGTGCATAATAAAAAAGAAAACATGAATCTCGTGGCCATTAAAGAAGCGTATACTGTAGATACAATGCATAGACGAATATTGCACGCCTTGGTTTATTTAACGATGCTTTACGAGCTGCAGGGTTTATTCACTGACGAATAAAATTATAGGATTATAATCTGTTAAATAGAAGCGACTGGCGATTTAGTAGTTTGAGCTTATTTCATAGTAATATAATTTAATTATCCTTGATGGAACGTGGTAAACTACGAAAGGACTAATTAAGGATGGTCCTGAGGCTCGGGTGACATTCAAGCTGGGAATCTCTCAAATATGTTACATGCGCTACTGCTTGATTGCATTAATTTTAGCTGAAATCGAGTGATTTTCACAAAATTTGGTGTAAGCATCGTGCAAGTTGAGGCCAACCCAACGTCACTCTTTTACTCTCAATAATAACAACATCGCCGGTCACGGTAGCCGAGCGGTCTAAGGCATGCACTGTCTTCGCTCGCTTGGAAGTCGGGATCGTGGGTTCGAATCCCACTCAGGGCATGGATGTTTGTGTGCGTTTTTCTGTGTTTGTCTACAGGTAGAGGCCTTGCGACGAGCTGATCACCCGCCCAATGAGTCCTACCGAATGTGTAAGATCTAGAAAAACCGAAGTGAACGGAGTTCATGGAGGTAGGCCTAGGCCCACTGGGGCTGTAGTGCCAAGGAAAAAAAAATACAACATGACGGATGCGTGAATGAGTGGGGTGCAAATGATGATAACAGCACTTAGGGTCCTGGAGTGATGTATGGGACAAAATCTTCGAAACACAGGCAAATTGTACGAAAATTACTTTATCTTTTTCTGCAGAATGTGGAATGATAAATGATGGCT